GATTGTGATTCCTAAAGGATCATTCAAACCTCCTTGTGAAGAAGAAATAGATGAATTTCTTAAAAAACTGGGCACAACCCTTAAACCAGATCCTGTGCCTAAAGACTATAGGAAATGTTGTTTCTGTCACGAGGAAGGTGATGGGTTAACTGATGGACCAGCAAGGCTTCTCAACCTGGATTTAGACCTTTGGGTCCATTTGAACTGTGCTCTTTGGTCTACAGAAGTCTACGAGACACAAGCTGGTGCCTTAATAAACGTGGAACTAGCACTGCGAAGAGGCTTGCAAATGAAATGCATGTTTTGTCACAAAATGGGTGCCACCAGCGGTTGTCACAGGTTAAGATGCACCAATATTTATCACTTTACCTGTGCCATTAAAGCACAATGCATGTTTTTTAAAGACAAGACCATGCTTTGCCCCATGCACAAACCAAAGGGAACTCATGAGCAAGAACTTAGTTACTTTGCAGTCTTCAGGAGGGTCTACGTTCAGCGTGACGAAGTGCGGCAGATCGCTAGCATCGTTCAGCGAGGAGAACGTGATCACACTTTCCGTGTGGGAAGCCTGATTTTCCATGCCGTTGGTCAGCTGCTGCCACAGCAGATGCAGGCCTTCCACTCCTCAAAAGCACTCTTCCCCGTGGGTTACGAGGCCAGCCGGTTGTACTGGAGCATGAGATACGCAAACAGACGCTGTCGCTATCTCTGTTCGATTGAGGAGAAGGACGGGCTTCCGTTATTTGTCATCAAGGTTGTGGAGCAAGGCCACGAAGATCTGGTCCTTACTGACACAACACCAAAAGGTAAGTTTTGTGAACTAAGATCATGACTTTTGTGGGTTTGCTATTTGTTCCGTTACTACTGATACTTGTGGTATGATAAATGTTCCAAATAAATGCTGCAGACACTGTTCTCATGTAATGCTTATAGTGAGCTTGCAGGGTCCGTTTTTAATACCATGCTATGACGAGTGAGGACACCTCTGAAGAAGCTGCATAAGCTGCAAATAAGACGACTTGTTACAAGCTCACTCACAGGGGAGACCCAAGACTGAGTATTGAAAATGAATTAAAATAGTAGGAATGTCAGCGTAGGTTTCCTTTCATGAAAAGTGACTTTGTTTAAATACGATACCATTACTCAGTTATCTTCAAATCAGCTGTGCTGAACTTAGTAAGCAGTAAAGACAGTTGAGTTGACCATGTTGTTCTCAGGGCAGGTAACTTTGTCTCTGGCAGGGTGAAAAAGAATACATTAGACCATAAACGTATGAGCAGGTCTTGGGAACATGGCACGGAGATGCACACGTGGCCTGTAATGCTCTGGGTCTTAACCCCTTTGTGCTGCGGGTGCCGATAACACTCAGCCTCGCCCTGTCCAGTCAAAGCACTGCCGGGGGAATTGCTCACATACAACTGAGAGCTGACTATAGTCAATCAACAGAAATAGAATATATAGTTTATGTGCAGAAAATTCTACTTTGTGCAGGTTTTCTCAGGAGAATGTGTCTATGTGATTGTTGTCAGAGGACTGAAAGTTTCCATGCTGCGAATACTAAAAGGTTCATTCCCGAGAATCGAGGGTGCAGTAGAAATGTCGTGCTTGTTTGGGATTTGTGGAGGAGAAAACAGCAACTCACCAAATGATTCTCCGCTTCACTTTTTAAACACTGACCTGTTTGTGCATGTAACCAATGACAAAATGAATTTTCAGTATTGGTTTCTGGTTCCTGATATCCTCAGGCATTCGTTTTAAAACCAGTACGATAGACTTTTATTTTTTTGATCACTGTAATTCTTTCCCATATGGTTGTGTAGGTGTGTGGGATAAAATCTTGGAGCCCGTTGCTTCTGTTAGAAAAGAATCTGAAATGCTCCAGCTGTTTCCCGGCTATTTGAAAGGTGAAGACCTCTTTGGTTTGACAGTCTCTGCAGTGGCCAGGATTGCTGAATCGGTGAGTCTTCACCATCCCAGTTCTTGCTGGATCACCCCAGATTGTTGGATATACACATGAGAAGGGGAACAGGAAGCAGTGTGGAAAAGCAAGTATTTCATTACACACGATTAACATATAATTACTTGGATTTTTTTTTCTTTCTGTCTGTTTTTTTGCAGCTGCCAGGGGTTGAGGCCTGCGAGAACTACACTTTCCGCTATGGCCGAAACCCCTTAATGGAACTCCCTCTTGCTATCAACCCCACGGGCTGTGCCCGTGCTGAGCCTAAAATGAGTACCCATGTCAAGAGGTTTGTGTTAAGGTATTTTGTTTTAATTTCACATAGTACAGCCCAGGGTTTATAGGCTGCTTAGGGTTATTTGTGCTTTCGTCTGCTGCTTACAAACCCTGTCGTCTTTGGCTGTGTATGTGCATGCCCAAATCAAAGGAATTGCTTTGTTGTCTATGCTAGCTGGCTTTAAGTGTCTGTACGTCTAAAAGAATTTTTAATGGGGTTTGTGGCTGCTTTCGGAGAAATCTTCAGTTTGTCTTGTATTCTTT